CATGGTTCCTATCTCATAACTTGTAACCCTTTACCCCATCTGGATAATCTAGAAAGACACATTTCTTAGACCTAGGATCCAACTTGTCAACCTGTTGATGTGCATATGCAGCACAACCAAACACCCGAAGGTTAGACAAGTCAAGAGGCTTACTGGTAAAGATGGTTTCAGGACACTTACCACCAAGAGGGATAGACGGGAACCTATTAACCAAATAGGCAGCAGTGGTAACTACTTCACCCCAGAATTTCTTAGGCAAACCAGAGGTAGTTAACATGCTTCTAACCTTATCCAACACAATAAATAGTTTGCTATGTGTTTAAAATAAATTTCAAAGGGGCATTATGTGTTACATATTTTATTTTAAGACTTCCTACTTTGAAATATAGCGGTGGGATCACATACAAACTAGTCCTCCCATGCTAACCTACAAACTGTCACAAATCGTGCACCTTTACATTATTTGTATTCCATACTGATGTTCAAAGTGTTGCATATTATTTGTATTGCATATTGAAGTACAAAGTGTTGCATATTATTTGTATTGCATATTGAAGTCCACAGTGTGCATTTTTACATTATTTGTATTACATATTGAAGTTCAACGTGCTGCACATTATTGAGTTTGTAGATTAGTATTTTAAGCATGGTTTGTATTTGATCTTTTATATATATATATATATATATATATATATATATATATATATATATATATATATATATATATATATATATATACAGAAAAGATAAAGTCCCTCCGGAGAGACGGGAGGGACCGTCCGAACTTTACTGTTTGGGGTGGTTCCCATTGGAATTTTTTGATGAAAGTTTTTTAGCATGTTCCTCATCAAGTCTAGTTTGTCCATACCAAATTTCAGCTCAAACTTCGACTGGGAAGGCAGTCAAATAAATTCTTGAAGCTTACTGCACATTCTGCGCAGTTCACATCAGGAGTTCCTGATGAAAACCCCCGTGCGGACAAGACCATCAGAGGGTCTTCCCGATGGAATTTTTTGATGAAATTTTTTGAGCATGTTACTCATCAAGTCTAGTTTGTCCATACCAAATTTAAGCTCAAAATTCCATCGGGAAGACAGTCAAATAAATCCTGGAAAAATATGGTGCATTCTGCGCACATATAATGTGCAGTATGTTTCCAGGATTTATTTGACTGCCTTCCCGATGGAATTTAGAGCTGAACTTTGGTATGAACAAACTAGACTTGATGAGGAACATGCTCAAAAAATTTGATCAAAAAATTCCACCGGGAAGACCCTCTGATGGTCTTGTCCGCACGGAGCTTCTCTTCTGGACCTCCTGATAGGAACGGGACTCTATATATATATATATAGACAAAAGTTCATGTCCGGAATTCCGGACAGGAACCGCCGTCCGGACGGCGGCGTTTGACCGCCTTCCCGGTGGAATTTTTTGATGAAATTTTTATGGAATGTTCTCCATCAAGTCTAGTTTATCCATAAAAAAATTCATCCAAAAACTCAATCGGGGAGGTCGTCAAATGATTTTTGCAAGTTAACTGGTCCGGAATATGTATTTTCCGGACCAGTTAACTTGCAAAAATCATTTGATGACCTTCCCGAATGAGTTTTTGGCTGAATTTGTTTGTGGATAAACTAGACTTGATGGAGAACATGTCATAAAAATTTCATTAAAAAATTCCACCCGGAAGGCGGCCAAACGCCGCAGTCCGGACGGCGGTTCCGGTCAGGAATTCCTGACCGGAAGAGCACTCATATATATATATATATAGAATTTTATTCATGTCCGGAATTCCGGACAGGAACCGCCGTCCGGACGGTGGCGTTTGGCCGCCTTCCCGGTGACATTTTTTGATAAAAATTTTATGGCATGTTCTCCATCAAGTCTAGTGTATCCACACAAAAATTCAGCCAAAAACTCAATCGGGAAGGTCGTCAAATGAGTTTTGCAAGTTAACTAGTCCGGAATATGTATTTTCCGGACCAGTTAACTTGCAAAAATCATTTGACGACCTTTCCGAATGAGTTTTTGGCTGAAAGTTTTTGTGGATAAACTAGACTTGATGAAGAACATGTCATAAAAATTTAATCGAAAAATTCCACCCGGAAGGCGGCCAAACGCCGCCGTCCGGACGGCGGTTCCGGTCAGAAATTCCTGACCGGAAGAGTACTCTATGTGTGTGTGTGTGTGTGTGTGTATGTTAACAGGGCCGGCCCAGGGCATGTCTGCCCAGTGCGACCGCACAGGGCCCGGATTTTTGAAGGGCCCAAAAAAAAAATTAGTATTACGCCCCAGTCCAAAATCCCCCTGCGTAAATCTAAATATGCTTGAAGAATGTCCCTTTTTAAATAAATTGTAAGTTATTAATGACAATTTTTATCATTACATTTATTCGTAAGTTGTATTTTAAGACAATTTGCTTGTGTTGCAACTTGAAAAAAGGCCCAAATTTTATTCTCGCACAGGGTCTACATTTCTTCGGGACCGGCCCTGTGTATGTATATGTATATAATGAAATAAATCAAAATCTATCATATTTTAGGTAAAAGAAATTGAAAGGATTTTGATAGTTTTCAATCATTCGGACCTTGTATCGACAATTTTCATCTTTCAGATGAGGATGAATTGATGGTTTACCTATCTATTAAGACATTAATCCCTGAATTGATAAAATTTCTACTTCAATGAATCATAACCCAATCTTGGTTTAGTTTGCTTCGAGACATGTACCTCAAGAACACAAGTAAACTCATTAGTTTATGTTCTAAAAATATACTATTTGGGAAATCAAGATATGTCTAGCTTATATTCATGTCACGGTATGCTCTAATTGTCTGATCTATAACGTTTTACAATGTTTCATTTAATCTTTTGTAGGTGAATCCATTATAGTTGTTTACTCCATATTCTTAATACATACGCTCATCATATTTGCACGAAAACTTGTAGCTGGAGGTTTCATGAAAAGCACTGTGTTAAAATCTGCATACGCCTTGTGACTTACGGAGTATTTATATGTACATTATTTTCATTTGTATTTTCAACAGAATATAATAGAGAGAGCTACCTTGTCCAGGAAGAGTGGAAGACAAGTGTTCAATGAGGGTGTACACTTGCCTTCATTTAAATCTTCTCAGGATTTATTGTGAGACAAAGTTAATTATCAATTACTGTGTCATGAGATAATGTCATAGACTCATAATTAATGGTATACATATGCATATCCTTTTTCACCTTGTACTATTGGATACGAAGTTTTCCATGGTATCATTTCCACGGAGGAAAGTGTCACTTTTACTATTGTTATTGGAAAATAGTAATTTTAGATTAATGCTTAGGCTTAACTAAAGAGCGCAGTTTTAAATTGTTTGTAATGTCCCAACCTTATTAAAGATTACATTACAGAGTACAATTACATATTAGGCCTTGTGCCAGCCTTATTAAATGTAAATACATAGTCAAGTATGTTTTTACTATAAATTAAACATGTATCAAAGGAGAAAAAGTTTAAAACAAACATTTTTTTTGGATGAAAGGTAAATTTATTAAACATCCAAAATAACATAATAATGTATCAAAACTATCTGGTTAGCTATACTAATTAAAAATAGTATCCAACCAATCCACCCCCCCCAATCCACCCCCCCCCCCCACCCCCTTGCGGGAAGTAGGCGGGAGAGAGAAATTTTGTGGGAACAGAACCAAAGCGGCTCGGGACAAACCCCGGCTCGCATCAAAAAGTCACAATCCAATTTCGGGCCAGTAAGGCCCATCCCTGGAAACAGTCCAGCAAAATAAAATCCAACTTCTAGGCTGCTGGACCAGTGAAGGTCCAAAAATCCGCATCTCAAAGTAACCTTCAACATCCGCAGACAAAAACAAAACAAAAAAATCATACTCTCTTGCCCATTTAAAGGTTTTCGTCCACTATTTACATGGTCAATTTAAATCATTCTTAATTTTTTACTTTATATATCAATTTTTTATCAAACTTACATTTTTTATCAGGCTTTGTAGCAGTTTTAATGTAGTTTCTGAATATGTAAATTTTATTTACTAAAAATAATCAGAGTGTGAACAGAGATTGAGTTGGTTTATCGTCAGTCAAACATCGTAAACCGCAATTGGAACCTTCTAATGGGACTGAGGGAGTATTTCATATGGCATTATGGGCTTATGGCGGGCATGGGCTTTGGCGCATTGCTCGTGAAAAGGGCTGGTTACATTTATACAAATCAAACTATCAATTCTCAAAGTATGTACATAGATAACTATATAAATATACATTTAAGCACATATTTAAGCACTCAGGTACAGTATTCAAAAATTTAACTTTTATTTAACTTATATGAGTGCTATTTCTCAAAAAAAAAAAAATCATTTGCTATATATGCATAAGTTTTAGGGAAATTTACTTTACACCCTATTTTTTGGATGATATTGGACTTTAGACCTCATTCTTAAAAAACTTTGACTTTGCACTCCATTTAACTTCAAAATTCTTTGACATTGCACCCCAACTAGGAATTTTGTTTCACAAAATGTTACTCTCTCCGTCCCGCTAAGATTGTCCCATTTTACCTTTTCGGTCCGTCCCACTAAGATTGTCTCATACCTTATTTGGTAAAGTTTGTGTAACTCAAAATCATTCTTACTTTATCAATTCAATATCAATCACATAAATCACTTCTTAATGATTTGTGTGTCATTCCTTCTTGTCTCATTGTTAGTGGGACGGAGGGAGTATATGATGGGGTACAAAGTCAATTTTTTTTTAAATGGGTGCAATGTCTAATATCACCCCGAAAAGTTTTATATCTATACAAAATGAAAATATCATTGTTAGTTTTATAGTTTACACGAAGTCTTCTATTCCTTGTCTTTTTTGTAAGAGAAAACTTGAGAAACGGATTAATATAAACATAGTACTACTAATCTTTTGATAAGAATGTATATACTCTTTTGACATCAGAATACTTCGTCATAATGCTCAAAAGAATTGGAAGCTTATCAAGCAATTTGAATATCAATCATGTTGTATTTCTGGAAGGTATTATAGGGGTTTTTACTTGGATATTACTAATTTTGAACCAATTGTCCAAAAAGTGACCACTTTTAAAAAGGGGCAAAAAAGTGATCAAGAAGGTCATATATGTGCAATTAGAAAACATTATGTAACTGCAAAAATTTTATGTCACTGCGTGTTCGTTTTTTCAACTACAGTAATCACCCATGTCACTACAACCACCGCCCGTGTCACTGTAGCCACCGCCCGTGTCACTGTAGCCACCGCCCGTGTCACTGTAGCCGCCGCTCGTGTCACTGTAGCCGCCGCTCGTGTCACTGTAGCTGCCGCCCGTGTCACTCTAGCTGCCGCCCGTGTCACTGCCACCCGTGTCATTGCCGCCCCATGTCACCGCACCGCCACCAGCCACAGTGACACCTCTATAGTGACAACTCCGCAGTGACATATTTGTAGTGATATCTCCGCCGTCCAACCACCGCCGCTGAAACCACAGTGATACAAAATTACTCCGGCGACCGCCCTCCGAACAGCTACCACCACCTTCCCGGTGGTGACCAGTGACCACCTCTCCCCAACCCCTGCACCACCACCAGTCCACCACTGCCCCACCCCCACACCATCTTCAATGTCCCCTGCTTTCTGTCTCGCACCACTGCAACCATCTGCAACCATCACCCACTAGATCTAGTGGTCCAACCTTCCCGCCGCCGCACCGACGGTAACTGCCCTCCCAGCCCCTTGTAGCAGACCAGCCCCTGACCCTCCCTAGACCTAGCCCTCTCGATTTTCCGCATCCCCAATCGTCGCTCTCCATCCCACAGCCATAGCCGCCTCCCAAATCAACCTCACCACCGTCCAAATCAACCGCACTGCCGCTCAATTCAACCACACCGTCACCCAATTTAACCGCACCACAAGGATCTGAAATCTCATGTTGAGTGCATGAGGCAGAACACGAACAAAAAAAAGGAGATAGTGAGCAGGGATGAGCTTGGCGGGGCTTGTGGCGGAGTATGGCAGAGGTTGAAGACGGGGGTGATGCTTGTGCGTCTGGGGCGAAGGGATTTTTGTGCACTTCCCTGGAGCTGCAGGCCTGTGACGAGAGGGAAAGATGATCTGCGATGATCCCGGTTGTTTTCACGCGGAAGACAGTTGGGGAGCGGGTCACTTTTTTGTGAAACCAAAAAGTGGTCATATTTTTGAAATTAGAAACTTGGGGAGTAATATTAGTGCCATTCGGTATTATTATATACCTTAATTCGATGGATTGAAATACATGGAACTCTTCAAACCTCAAGTAACTTCTGATGGAAAAGAAATATGCCTTGTGAAAAATAACTTATAATGACTCCAACTTATTAATGGTTGAATAGAAGAACGAGAAAGAAAAGGAAAGGTAGAACTCGTGTCGATAACATGTTGTATGAAAAAGATCGTTTAATTTCAGTACTAAATGAATGCCATATAAGTGATATAACCCTCTAAATAACAAGAGATTGAAGTTTACAAAGATGGATCAACTGACACATAATACATACTCCGTAATTGATTTGTTTGATAGCACATCATACGAAAGTTTCTTCCACATGAGACCCTTTTTTCATCCAATGTTTCCTTATGCAGAGGACGGTACAAATCTAAATTATTACAGTTCTTATTTACTTCATCATTATTATTACTAGCAGCTTGCTCTGAAATAGGATACGTTAATGAGGTTCATCCAGTATCACAGGTATACTGGATGAACATTTTAACCTATACAAAAGCATTGGTAAAGTCAAATACTATTAAAAATTGCAGCCTGGAACAGATTATCTGGTCCTTAAGTATTGGCCAATGTATAAAAGGGTAAGGGTCGGATTGTAACCTTCACAAATCACAAAGCATTGGCCAATGTATTAATGTCTAATATACAAAGAACAGATTCATCAATAAAGTATTAAAAAGATATTCTGGAACATGCTCTACAAGTTACAAATGCATCCCAAACTTTTAAGAAATTGCAAACGAGTTGAAAACTTTGTCAATCCAAATTACAAAATAGGATCTTTCTGCTGCAAGATGAGAAATGTTCCTAAGATCGAAGGAGTTGTTGTAGCCTATAATTTGACAAAAAATCGATGTTATGTCTGGCAGCAAAATCCTACTAGCTTGAAGAATTGAATTTCGGAATATCTAGGGTTGCAAATCTGGAATCAAACAGCTCTTTGAGAATTTGAGAGGCTATATCTAACAGGTTTACATTCCACTCTGAAATCAATACACAAATCTGTGAAGAAACATAAAACTGATTTGGGCGCAATGACATAGAAAAGGTAAGAGTTCATTTGATTCACAGGCGCAAAAGCATTACACTGATTTGGGCTCGAACGAAAACGAGCTAAATTGAAACAACTTTTCTTCTAAACCAAGCCCTAGGAAGCAAAAAAAAACTATTGGAAACAGATATTATACTTGAAACGTTCTTAAGAGCTAGTGAATTTGGTAACAGCCTTGGTGCCTTCAGAGACGGCGTGCTTGGCCAATTCTCCGGGAAGGACCAACCTCACTGCGGTCTGGATCTCCCTGGAAGTAATGGTCGGCTTCTTATTGTACCGAGCCAATCGGGATGCCTCCTGAGCCATCTTCTCGAAGATGTCGTTGATGAAACTGTTCATGATACCCATGGCCTTGCTGGAGATTCCGATGTCGGGATGGACCTGCTTCAGAACCTTGAAGATGTAGATCTTGTAAGTCTCAACGGACTTCTTCGTCCTCTTCTTCTTCTTGTCTCCGGCCGCCGCAGCTCCGGCGTCCTTCGGGAGCTTCTTCCCGGCCTTTGGCTTCTTCTCCGCCTCCGGCTTCTCGGTTGCAGGGGTCTTCTCCGCCGCCGGCTTCTTCTCGGCTTGCTTCTTCTCCGTCTTTGGCGCCATGGAATCTAGAGGAAGGGTCGAATTTCTACGGAGTAATTAAATTTAAGAGGCGAGGAGTATGAAATATGAATGGAGCTTGGGAATTGAAGAAACAGGTCGTCTGTTTATATATGAACAAGGAGTCGTCGCTCATTGGTTAGTTTAATTTGACGCGGATCCGTGTTTTAAGTCGTTGATCATTTGATCTGTGAACGGGTGAGATTAATGGGATTCGGATAGCGTTGAGGGGCGTACTTGTTGAAATTTTAAAAGTGGTTTTCCCCTCTCAATTCTTGTACACTTCACTTTTGGCGGTAAATGAAAATTTGAAAACTTTCGGGCTAGGAATTCAATGTAAAATTAACGGAGCCCAGTAGATACTTTCAACTGTAGAACGGGTTTCCTAGAAAGTGTAGATAGAATATAGATAAAGGCCACAATGCCACATTGAAAAAAATGTTTGGTATCTTAGGGATTTGAGAGGAGCTGATTTGTAATCTTTCTATTTTGCGATTTCGTTCAAAAACGTTAGACCAAACAACATGGATCAGTGCAATCACTTACCAAACAACTATTTCGTCAAATCGTTATTATCTACTAGGTATTTAAACATCATTTTTCATTGTTCCAAAAAAAGGTTGAATCGCCAACCCCAAGCGCCCCCACGCCCTGACCCGACAGGACTTTTTGGGAGGATGTAAGTCACGGTGACTCAGTCAGTAGAGTGGCAGTAGGCCCATACACCCGTGCGCACCAGAGGCTCAGTCTTATTTCAAGTTCTGTGACCTCCATCCGGTCGCTGCGGGGATTCGAACCTTGGTCATTGTTCCAAATTTCCCACCACTCAACCAACTGAACTACCCGTGCGGGTTAAACATCATTTTTTCAAACACAATGAAATTCTAGAACCGATCAGTTAATTATTAGAATGTTTATAATTAGATTGTTTTCAGTCTCAACCAGATCTGATTAAATAGATCATATCAGATCAAATTTGGACAGTTGTGAAACACACATACAAAACATCTATCACATCTGTCCACTTTAGACCATACTAGATCAAACTTAAACAAACCAAATCAAAAAATTATAATCTAAAAAAACTTCCTTAGTGAATAGCCAATAATATCAGCAAATTGATATCAACTGATTTTGTTGGCCATTTCGATCAGTCGCTACAATTAGCGGATTAAAGTAAAATATTAAATAATTTAGTTGTTTACTTAAGACGTAAAATGATCTTTAAAATAGGAAAAAAATGTGCCTGTGTGTATCTTTAACTTAACTTTTTTTATTTTATTTATTTGATAAGTTTTGAAACAAAGATTACATGTACTCTTATTTTATAGGTTTAAATATGTTTTTAGTCCCTGCAAATATAGGTCACTTTGTTTTAGGTTCTTGCAAAATATTTTCTTTATTTTTCATCCTTGAAATTTATGTTCATTTTCTTTTTAGTCCATGACTAATGATAACAACCTATATTTGACACCGAAACAATCCCGACTAATAGGTATCCTTAAATTCTTTGTCATACTATTCAAAAAGTATTTAATTGGAAAAATTGATAGTAATAATCTCAACTATTGGCGGTCCGCTCATAATAATCTCAACTATTGATTATTACAGAATAATCCCAACTTTAGGGACCTTCCGCCAATAATGGTCCCTATGAATAAATTCTTGTAGTTTCTAAAGTGGATGAGATGAGATATAACAAGTAATCCCTATAAATAATCTCAACTTTTAATTTTTACGCTTAATTTCTATTTAAAACTCACTTTTTATAGAGGTAATATATGGTCATGGACCATTATTGGCGGATAGTCTATATAGTTGGGATTATACAAAAATAATCAATAGTTGGGATTATTTTCAGCGGACCAGCAATAGTTGGGATTATTATTTTCAATTTTTCCTATTTAATTTCATTTTTAAAGGATTTTTTATTAATATTTTTTTAAAATGTGAATAATTAGTTTTAATATTGTTTTAGCTCTCTTATTAACCTCAAAAAAATTATAAACTGATAAATTTAAATGCTTCTAGTTGATTTATGCAACCGACAATAAAAAAACTCTAAGTAGAGTTGTTTCGGCGTTAGAGATGGACTAAAACCAAAATAGTGCATATTACAGGGATGGAAAACAAAGAAAATATTTTGCAGGGACCTAAAACAAAGTGGCCTATATTTGCAGGTACTAAAACCATATTTAAACCTATTTTATACAAAGTACAAATTCTGCTCCGCACTATTGTTAACTTTAATATATACACGTGTGCACGCACGCAATGACGCAAATATACATTGTTTCTTTGTCTCAATGTTTTAAATATAATTAGGGATGGCAATTAGGGGGAGTTCATTCCCCCGTCTCCGTCCCATGTCTAAAAAATCTACCCACTCACGCGCCATCTCAGCTATTATTTTCCCCGACCCAGCCTACTAGACGCGGAGTTCTCAACAGGGGAATATTTGTCATCACAGAATTTAGAATAAATAAGTTTGAAAATCAACTACCATATAGTTACTTGCAAACAAAACAAACGTAACTTTTTTCTAACCACACTTTATACGGTAATGTATGTTATAGGACTAGCACATATACAAAACAAATTCAATTGATAATTCAAGACTTCAAAAAACAATATAAACTTAATCACTATGGACAAAGTCACAAAGATGATTATAGTCTTGATGATTTTTCAACAAAGGGTTCAAAAAACTCATTAGCCCTTTCAATTCACAAGTTATGAAACTAAAAAATAGACCCATCACCACTATTTTCATTATTATTGTTATATTATTATTATATTATTATATTATTATTAGTATTATTAGTATTATTATTTTGACCATTTTTGTTGCTATTAATATTAGGATTCTTGTTGTTGTAACAGTTGTTTTATTTTATTATTAGGGAAAAGTACAGATAAGCTACCTGTGGTTAAGGTCATTTACAAAGAGGGTCATGAGTTTCATTTTTTCCCAAACACATATTCGTGCTTTCCTTCCGTTAGCACCACGGGGGTCTCAGCCCATTGGCCGTTAAAAATTAATAACGTGGACCATTATTCCGTCCAAATGGAGGCCGCGTGGCTGTAACATGGCCAGGTCATTAATTTTTTTTGAATTAGATACAGTAAAGGAGTCTTTTAATTTCCTTGGAGAGCAGGAGCATTAGTAAGACGAAGACTTTGTTTAAGGTGCAAAGGAGGCGTACGAATGAGCTCTTCCAAATCCAACTCCACTGCAAACACCCGGCGGATTGATGTACGAAGTGAATGGATTAAGAGGTGCGACTGCGGTATCCAAGCGCCAATTTGGACTGCAACTACGGAGAAGAACAAAGGGAGAAAATTCCATGGTTGTGGTAGATACATGGTGGTAGGTGTTGAGAAATGCAATTTCTTTGAATGGGTTGATGAAAACGCATGTGGAGTGTCATTTGAAACCATGGAATCTGTGTTTGACAAGATTTCAAGCGTCGAGGAAGCTATGAAGGTTAAGCAGGTGGAATTGCAGACTGTAATGAACTCTTGCTTGCGTGGGATCAATGATTTGAAGAAACAAAATGGAGAAATCATAGTTGCAATGGCTTAGAATGAGAACTCCAGTTTGAAGATGAAGATGTTGTGGTTGATGTCGTTTGTTGTTTTAATTATGGCGATGAAGTTATTGCAGGATTTGTAGGTTGATAGGTGTTTGATGTAATGATTGAATGAGTATTAAGTGTTTTGTTATTGTTTTGTTGTATGAACATTGTTTCAATTACTGTAAGTTGTTATGAGTAAGGATTTGGTGTTGTTTATGGAGTGAGGTGAAATAAGCAAGTGTGAAGACTATCAGTAAAACAAGTGTGTTTAATTGTGACCTTGGATACGAACTGCTAAGCAAACACACTTGTTAAAACAACCCAAACAATCTAAAGAGGTTGTACATGCACATAAGAAAGTGTGAAGCTTTATATGAGTGCCCAAAACACCATAACCTTAACCAAAAGTGTTCTGGTGACTAGCCAAAAACAACTCACACCTGATCTACATTAACATAACCATACATTAAGCAATACATAAGTTCAATAACAACCAAACCCATAAGCTCACATGTCAGATGCACTTAACAAATAGTTTTCATTCGTAGGCAAAAAGAGGCCAAAAGGCATGTACATTTACATAAGCAAATGTTACCATAAGTAGGCAAAAAGAGCCCAGAGGGCAACTACATTTACATAACCAAACTGTTTACATGACTAGGCAAAATAAACCCAAAGGGATTCTACAATTGCAGAGTTTTCATCCATTCTAAGCAAAAATAACCCAAATGGGTTGTACAATTACAGAGTTTCCATCAATTCTACGCAAAAACCCAAATGGCTTCTACATTTACATATCCGCTGCCACCTCACACTTCTTCTCCACCTTCCTTAAATGTTTCCAGAATTACCAATCTGCAAGCACAGTCAACACATTACTTAAAAATGTGTTCACTAATACACACTATGTAATGGAATGTATTTCATTGGAATTAATCTATCCCTTTAATTTACCATAGATGATTGTGAACTGCTACTCCTAGTAACTCTTCTGCATGTTGGTTGAGGCTGTGAGCTACTTCTTCCTCTCTTCTTGGTTGCTTTTCTGCTTGCAGCTTGTTGGCTACTAGAGGGTGCATGCTCCTGTATCTCCCCTTCCCTTTCAGCTTGCCTGTGCTTTGCCTTAGCTAACCTATTTCTTCTCTGCCATGGTGTTTCCCCTGTAATTGAAGTTTTGCAGCCTCTAACATTGTGCCCAACTTGATTACAGTTTCCACAAACCACTTGTTTCCCAACCCTAAAGACCTTAAATGGATTCCGGGTTTCAACAGCTTGTTTCACTCTCTTTTTTTTGGGCCTACCAGCTGGTTTTCTAGGTACTGGTGGAATAATGTCAGGAAAATTAGTGGTTTCCCACTCTTGTTTACTAGGTACAGGGTGAATGATGTGTTCATACACAGCAAGATATGTGGCTTTTGAGTAATAGGGACTCACATAGGTCTCTGGTTTTTCCCTATTAGCAAATATAGCACAGATTCCATGTCTGCAGGGAATTCCATTTAAATCC